AGGGGCATGGGCATTCAAAGAATGATGGTGCATTCTGATGTGGATCGAGAAGTCATTGCATCTACCATGAAGCTTTCTTGCACTTGTATTAGGAGCATTGTTTTGTATTTGCTTAAATATTTTGTAAAATGTTTGATGATTGAACTTATGCTACATTCTAAGGCTATGAACAATGAAGAAAGTTTTAATCTTGTAGTTCTTTGAATATCGATTGAATTATATATTCTTTTAATTCTTCATTAATTATAGATTTTTGACATATGGAAATATTAGACCTTTCTTATCCCGTCCAAAGCCAAAAATAAGATCACTCAATTTTCTACCCGAAATAATTCATGGTCACTACCAAATGACCAAATTTTGACATTATCTTTCTTTGAAACTTTTAAATAATGTCTTTATCTTTTTTTGAGACACGAAAAGACATGCCCTTACCTTTCGTTGAGACAATAAAGTCATGTCCTCGTCTTTTGAGACACAAAACTGACATTTTTCTGCCAATAAAACCTAAAAGCAATGAGTACAAGATGTTTACTTGCACAAGAATGGTTCTGCATGGAAAACAAAATGGAGCATCTCGAATCAATTTTCTGAAGATGAGCCTAAAAAATTGGGATATGCTGGAAGCAAGAAGAAAAGATAAATGAAATGGTTTGGAATAATTCTACCATGCATTAGTTACATTGTTTTCATGTGAATAAAAGTTAATCCTAACCGAAAAAGTGAATTATTGGCTATCGATGGATCAAAAACCAACATTAAAGAACTCGTTTATTCCTGCTTAGCTAAGCTCCCTCGAGCTTTTGTACACGATCACTTGAATCTTCAGATTAAATCGGGGCCTCCACCTATTGATGTGAAGATCCCAGTGATTGATTTCGCAGGTGTCAACACCGACTCCACTCGTCATGCGATGATAATTGACGAAATCCGAAGTGCTTGTGAGAAATAGGGATTCTTCCAGCTTGTTAATCACGGAATCCCTGCTACCACACTGGAAGAGAAGATCATCGGGATCTTTCGGTTCAACGAGTAGGACTCTAAAGCCAAAGAAAACTTTATTCTCAAGAAGAATCAAAGAATGTCACATTCAACACTAAAATCGACATGTCCCGAGCTTTGGCTACCTATTGGAGGGATACCCTTACTTCTGTTATGGCCCCTAATCCCCTGCACCCGAAGAAATCCCTGATGCCTGCAGGTACATATTGCTAGACTACACAAACAATGTAATGAACTTGGGGCATACCCTATTCGTATTGTTATCTGAATCACTTGGTCTAAATCCGAACCACCTCAAGGACATTGGTTGTGCTGAGGGACTTTACGTAATGGGTCATTACTTGCAGGTATGCGCCAAACCCGAACTCACAATGGGGATCGTCATCCATACAGATAGTGGCTTCCTCACTGTGCTTCTCCAAGACCAAATCGGTGGCCTCCAAGTCCTACACGACGATCAATGGATCGATGTTACTTTGATCCCGGAGCTCTTATAATAAACCTCAGAGATCTGTTACAAGTCAATGATTCCCTATTACTCAATATATGTATCAATGCTTCTAAGTGTTCGGTTTTATTTATTTTTAAATGAAAAATGAGAGTTTATTCTTTTTTATTTACCCAACTGTAAAGATATATATATATATATTCAACCAAATGGATCCCATACTTAGAAGCGCATGGGTGGAAAAACAAAGGCTTGGGTGATATGTTATATTTCCCCCCATTTTAAACACCAACCGGATTAGTTGTTGTCTAATATTTAGTGATGGAAGAATGGAAATCGGAAACACATGAGAATGGCTATGTACATTATCTCTGTAAATAAAGATGCAAGTAAGATTTTATATTAAAAGATGTAAAATTTAAAATATTTATATTAAAAATTTAAGGGATAAGAAATTATAAATTTGAAAGGAATAATAAATTATATCATCAATATAAATATAGAAAAACTACCTAAACTATATAAAAATTAAGTTTCGTTTGGTTTTAGAAAATATAGATTATTTTCATTTTCTTAAAAAATAGAAAATGATGAACATGTTTGGTTGTAAAATTGAAAAATGATTTTTGAAAATGAAAACAAAAATAAGTGAAAATATGGAAACATCAAAAATATATTTTCAATATTTTCATTAAAATTATTTTGAAATTTTGAAAAATAAGGAAGCACGAGATCTAGATTTTTAACTTAACTTACAAGGGTTCAAATTATTCTAACAATAATTTTTTGATTTAATGATATTTGAAACCCTCAAACTTTGGTAAAAAATCAATAGTCCATGAACTTTTTTTTATAGTCAATATAGACCTTAAATTGAAATTTTTTAATAATTTAATTTTGTAGTTTTTTATATTTAATGTATTAAATATCTTAATAATTTTTTATATTTTATATTTTTAATTTAAATAATTTTTAATTTTTTTTTAAAAATTGTAAGTCCTCAAACTTTCTAAAAAATCAACTAGGGCATCAAACCAAATCATAATGTTTCCCCAAATAGCCCAATGACAAGGGGGAATCAATTCGACTTAAAAATTAATTCGAGAAGAGATGGTGAAGTTTAGATTTTGAAATGATTTGGTTTGGAGTTGCCATCAATCTTTTGGGTTAGATAGGTCGAATATCTAAAAATATATTTTTAATGAATTTTATAAAAAAATATCATTAAAAAACAAAAACGATCTACGTTTTCCAAAGATTCATTTTCTAAGAGTTCGAGAATCGATTACGTATAGAGAAGAAAAAACACCCACGGTGCCCAAACTTAGTACCCAAACGATTATATGTTCTAAATACTGGAATTGCAAACTCGAATATATATTTAAATTGTGATCCTCTCATTCATTCAAATTTATTTAAAATGACGTCCTTTCGATTCAAGAAAATTAACCAAGATTGCCATCCTTTAGAGTTAGGATACTAACTAGTCAATTCTCCTAAACCAAAACAACATTTCCTTTGAAATTAAGAATATAAGAATATAATGGCAAATAATAAATGCAATGGATGCAAAATAAAAGTGTTTATTCATAATCTTTTTAAATTTTAAAATTCTAAATGACTCAACGTATAATTATAAATTAATTAAAAATATAAAGTAAATTTTTTAAAATAAAATATTAATTACATTCTTTTCCATAATCTTTTCTTTTTTACAATAATTGGGTCAAATACCAACCCCTAAATTAAATAACGACAAATATTTTTTCCTTGCCATTGAAGCCGTCAATGCCATTAGTCTTTTTCACCGGTGAGATAGTCAACAAAATTCCTCCCTCCCTGCATGGCTACCGTTTGAGCCTAGCTGGCGTTTACCGTCGTTCGTGCAGCCAATCCGGTACTGATACTTGATTACCCGTGTACCGAACATTGTTTCAGGTGTAATTAATATTTGATCTAATTATTGTTAAAAAAATATGAAAAATAATGTAATTAATATTTATGTCAAATAATTTACTTTTAGATTTTTAACTAATTTATAATTATACGTTGAGTCTTTTAGAATTTTAAATTTTTAAAAATTAAATTAATGGTGCTCATCGGTAAGAATGGACATGGGGCCCGAACTTGACGGGTTTTGACCCAATCGGATCGGATTTTTTTAAAAAAAATTGGTTTCGAGTTTAGGGTGAAAAATATCCGACCCTACCCGAAGAAAAATATAATTTTACTTTATATATTTATGGATAATTGCAATAATACTCCTCTATATATTTATTTTTCAATGAAATAACTATTTTTATTGAATAAAAATATTATTTTTAATAAATATATTATTTCGGGCCGTGTCGGGTTCGAATTTTATCTCAAAAAGTCGGGTCGGGTTCGGGTCAAGTGGAGGGTGTGTATTTTTTGGGTCGGATCGGGCAAATGAAAGATGTATAATTTTCGGGGGTCTAGTTGACCAAAAATCTGACCCATGCCCATCCCTACTCATCGATGCTCATCGTTAGTGATACTCAATGGTTCTTGTAGAGCATTGCAAATTCATCCTTAAACATTACCATAAAATGATGAATGGAAGTGTTCTAGAAACAAATAAGTTTGGTTTAACCTAACACCATCTTTCTTAAAAATAACTATCGTGTTATTATTAAAAATTATATATAACAATAATGTTTATTGTAATTGACTTCCATTTAGGAAACAAAACAAAGCCACCTACCTTTTGGAACGTGGAAGAACCCAATAGAATGTGAATTTCCACATGAAGCGATTATACATAGGGGAAAGCACACGTGGATATTGTTTAATTGGTAGGCCAATAACATTTGCATGCCTAAATTTTAATTGTACGACTTTCAGGATTAAAAATATGCTCCAAATTTAATTAAAAAATACTATATAGTATATTATACGACAAGGTGAGAAGACGAATCATCTATTTACACAACTATGTGGATACCGTGTTTTGGAATTATCTATTCCTTTTACTCCATGCATGGTGTAATTTCAAAACATGCTATCCAATGATTTTAAAACGGTATAAAACTAAAAGAGTTTTAAATAATATAAATGGATCTCTAACCTATATATATAATCAACAGATATTATATAAGAATTATAAAAGATAATTATCAATCGATTGAGATTAACATTTCTAATGCATATTAAAAATCTCAATCGTACATTGAAAACTTAAGATATAATTATTTTAATGAAGACAATACAATCAGAAAATTTCATATATATTTAGATGATTTTTTTAATTGCGAGTAATTGGATTATTTTCTAACGCTTTCCGTTTCTTTTTTTTAACTGCTAGTAATATTATTATGATAGTCAATTAATTGATTGATATATATATATATATATATATTGACAATTTGATTTATAAAATTTTAGATTAAGTGACTTGTAGTGTAATTTATCCAAACAGCAAAAACCTCTATATAAAGGGAACGAAGTTCAGGTTCGCTTCCAAAATCAAAGTCTCAAGTCTATTTTAGAGAGGAGAGTGACATTCATTTCCTCGTTGCATTAGATATAGTTTTAAGGCAAAAGAAAATGGCTGTCACAGCAAATACAGCACCAACTGAGTCCAACTATGACCGAAAAAGTGAGTTATTGGCTATCGACGGATCAAAATCCGGCATTAAAGGACTCGTTGATGCCGGCTTAGCTAAGCTCCCTCAAGTTTTTGTACATGATTACTTGAATCTTCAGATTAAATCGGGGCCTCCACCCGTTGATGTGAAGATCCCAGTTATTGATTTCGCAGGTGTCAACACCAACTCCACTCGACGTGCGGTGATAATTGACGAAATCCGAAGTGCTTGTGAGAAATGGGGATTCTTCCAGCTTGTTAATCACGGAATCCCTGCTACCACCCTGGAAGAGATGATCACCGGGATCTGTCGGTTCAACGAGCAGGATCCCGAAGCCAAAGAAAAGCTTTATTCTAGAGAAGAATCGAAGAAGGTCACATTCAACACTAAAATCGACATGTCCCGAGCTTTGGCTGCCTATTGGAGGGATACCCTCACTTGTGTTATGGCCCCTAATCCCCCTGCACCCGAAGAAATCCCTGAAGCCTGCAGGTACATATTGCTAGACTACACAAACAATGTAATGAACTTGGGGCATACCCTATTCGAATTGTTATCCGAATCACTCGGTCTAAATCCGAACCACCTCAAGGACATTGGTTGTACTGAGGGACTCTACGTAATGGGTCATTACTCACCGGCATGCCCTGAACCCGAACTCACAATGGGGACCGGCATCCATACAGATAGTGGCTTCCTCACTGTGCTTCTCCAAGACCAAATCGGTGGCCTCCAAGTCCTACACGATGATCAATGGATCGATGTTACTCCGATCCCGGGAGCTCTTATAATAAACCTCGGAGATCTGCTACAAGTAAGTCAATGATTCCCCATTAATCAGTATAAGTATCAACTTCTGATTGATCAAATTTGACCTTTTTCTTTGGTCCGTTTGCAGCTGATTACAAATGCCAAGTATATAAGCGTGTATCATAGAGTGTTGGCGAGAGACGTCGGGCCGAGGATATCAATCGCTAGCTTTTTCCGAACATATATTCAACCGGAAAACGCATCGAGAGTGTACGGACCGATTAAGGAATTGCTGTCGGAAGATAAGCCGCCGATTTACAAGGAAACAAACGAGGTCGATTATTTCAAATTCAAGCATGTTAAAGGTGTGGAAGGGACCTCTGCTCTTGCACATTTCAAGCTTTGAATAAATTCTGGTAATTTCAATCGTTCATGTGTGTCAATAAATTAATTCCCATCTCAGGGAATAATGGAATTAATTACCTAGTCATTGTATCCTATGTTTTTATTTAGTGTAAACAATGCAAATAGTCCCTTTTGTTTAGGGCCTATCAGATTTTGGTCACCAATATAAAAATTAAGGGTAAATGGTCTTTAACATTATCGGTCCATCTGGTTTAAGTCCCTCCGCCTTTAACCCTTAACAAATATATGACATAGCTGAGAGACTAAAATTGAACGGGAGTTAACGGCTGAGGGACTAAAATCAAACGGATTGGTAATGTTAGGGACTAAATCGAACGGATCGACAACGTTAGTGACCATGTACCCTTAATTTTTAAATTTGTGACCAAAGTCGGTCAAATCAAAAACAAAGGGGACTATTCGCGTAGTTTACACATTTATTTATATTTTTAGTTTTATTTTATGTGCTAGATCGTGTACCCATATTTTTATTTATAATTTATAATTTGGACCTTATGTTTGATATATGTGACATCTTACTCCCTAATTTCAGTGTTTGGTGATTGTTTAAATATATGTTCGTCTAATTTAATTTCAATTTAAATCTAATTAAATTTTTATAAGTTAATATAATATTTCAGATTTAATTTATGACTAAGTTAAACCATGAGTGTTACATTTATATTTAAATTTGACTTTATGTCACTAGTTGAAGTGTTACATCAATTGGTTCGATTGATTAGTTTAACTCAACTTTTGTAACATTGTAAGAAAGAAAGAAAAAACCACCTAACCTCATATTGAAAATTTGTAGGTAAACTACACCACAAGTCATTCAATTAATTATAATATTATAAATGGATCATTCGTTTTTAAAGCTACAAACGAGTCAATCAATTAATCAATTATTAGATGGCTTTTTAACATTGAATATTTTACTCATTAAAAGTATTAGATTTTAAAGGGTTACAATTAAGTCACCTAATTAATTGAATTGCAACAATAAAACTGTGTGCCACTACGTCAATCGCTGTCAGTCATTATATACGTTGTATGATGTACCCTAAATTTCACTATAAGATTAATCTGAATCTCCTCATTCTATTCACCAAATTAATTTCTCGAGAATCTTTCTAAAGAAAACCACGAGATAATTTTAAAATTTTCAGCCTCGGTATTAAAAAATCACGGGATTAGTTCCTCGATTATTAGATTGGCTTCGTTGGGTTGGAGGTATTTTGGGCTTAACATATATATATTTGATAGTTTTTGTATTTTGTTTAATAATAATAGTAAATATAATAATAATAATAATAATAATATAATAATAATAATAATAATAATACTATAATGACAATATTTAATAGATAGTAATAATAATAGTAAATCATCATAGTAGATAATCGTTAATAATAAATAATAATAGTAATAAAAATAATACTAATAATAATATTAATATAACGTCAAAAATAATAATAATAATAATAATAAGAGAAAATCGCCTCAGTGACCAAAAATGCCTTATAATATACGATTTTAACCAACTTTTTTTGGATTTGCCAAAATGACCAACAAAATCGCAACTCGAAATAAAAATCGCAACGCGATCCCCAGAATCGCAAATCAGTTTCCAAAATCGCAATGCGATTCTTAAAAATCGCAATGCGATAGTACAAATTCGCATTGCGATTTTCCAAAATCGCAACGCGAATATGAAAATCGCAACGCGAACACATAAATCGCAACGCGTATCCGTAAATCGCAACGTGTATCCGTAAATCGCAACGCGTATGGGTAAATCGCAATGCGTATCCGTATATCGCAACGCGTATCCGTAAATCGCAACGATAATCCGTAAATCGCAACGAGAATCTGTAAATCGCAACGATAATCCGTAAATCGCAACGAGAATCTGTAAATCACAACACTGAAATTTTGGGTATATAACACTGAAATCATAAACTAAATCCCTAAATCGCAACTCATTCCATCTCCATCTATCACTCTCTCCGGCGACATCCGTTCTTATATCCAACGACATCCTTCCCAATCCGGCAACAGGTTTTAGTTTCGCAGCTCGTCTGTTTAGTAAATTAATTTACAACCATGAAATCATCTAATGTTGATCATGTTTGGATAGATTTGTGTTTTGGAGGGTCATGGGATAATGTTCATGGTGTTTTACAATATATGCCTTTACCCATGAATCTTCAACTAAAATTGTCTTTACAAAAGTTAACTTATGAAACTCTAATGCTACGTGTTTCAAATAAATTGAATTTAGAGCCCCTAAGTGGATTTAGGCTATCTTATCAGAGAAATGGTAAAGTTTATTTGTTAACCGACAATGAAGATGTTGAACGATTCATTACTTACATTAGTGTTTCACAAGATGATGTTACATTGTATGTTGTTGAACCTAGAAGTAGTATTGTTGGGTCAGTAGCGGGTAGTAATCAACTAAGTTTTTCTCAAAACCCACAACCTTTCTCTAATCCAAATCCCAATCAACTTTCAGCACCAAATTCCGGTTTTCGTATTGACCAGTTAGACGATGATGAGCCAACAGAAAAAATTGTGAGTACTAGTCAGTATTCGAAATTTGGTCTTGGTCAATATCCGGACTTTGATATTGGTCAATACACGGATTTTGATGATGTTTCAGAAGAAGAAACAGACCCTGCGTGTAATGATTTTGATATTGGTCAATACCCGAATTTTGATGATGAAACAGCCGTTGCCGAAGAATGTATTGTTGATGATAATGAGGAGGAAGTTACGACTGTGAATGAACATGTTGAACATCCATTCTGTAATTCATATAATCCTGAAGAAGAAAAAGAAGAAGAAAAAGTCCCCGAAGAAAAGAAAATGCCACGGGCGTATAACTGGAATATGCCAGAATTACTTCAGATACCGGAAGAAGAGTTGATAAAGAAAGCAGTTGATTGTTACACAAAAGTTATTCGTATCAAGAAAGATGATTGTTTTGATACAAAGGAAGACTTGAAGATAGCTTTGTATACGAAATGTGTGGAAGATGGCTATCAACTAAAAGTTAACAAATCAAGCAAAGATCGTTTCGAAACAAGGTGTATGATTGACAAAAACTGTACGTGGCGTATGATTGCAAAGAGAATAAAAGATTGCAAAATGTTTCAAGTTAGGACTTTTATTGATAAACATACATGTTCAAGAACCCAAGTTTTTCCTCACCATAGACAGGCAAACAAAAAGGTGTTGGGTGGTTTTCTGGCTGAGTTAATGTTTTTGAATGGCAGGGTATATCGGGGACATGAAATTATGACTGACATGAATGCTCGGTTCAAGATTAGTATATCATATTCTCAAGCTTGGAGAGCCAAATGTTATGCCTTGGAATTGTTGAGGGGTCGCCAGAAGCATCGTTTGCCCAACTGCCGGCTTATTGTCACAATTTAAAGCTGAAAAATCCTGGGTCGGTAACTCATATCAAAACAGATAGAGATGGACGCTTTGAGTTGCTGTTTATCGCCATTGGTGCTACGGTTAGTAAATCAATATAATTTTGTTGACTCATTTTTGTTAGTTACATGCATTTCACATTTAAATGATTATATTTCTTGTGTATATTATTTTGTAGATTCGTTCGTTTATTACTTGCATGCGCCCAGTTATTATAGTTGACGGAGCACATTTGAAAGGTCGATACCTTGGAGTAAACTTATTAGCAGTAGCCATGGATGCTAACAATGGGATATTGCCAATAGCTTACGGGGTTGGCAAATCTGAAACCTCTGATTCATGGACATGGTTTATGGGGCATCTTAGGGATTGCATAGGTCCTATTAGCAATCTGACAATCATATCCGGTAGGGCAAACTCAATTGACAACGCTGTTAGAAGGTGTTTCCCAGATGCTTTTCATGGACTTTGTGGTGTTCATTTGTATAGAAATCTAAAATCAAGGTCTGCTGGTATAAAAAAGCACAAATGGACATACTGGAAGGCTGTAAAAGCTTATCGGGAAGTGGATTTCAATAAGCATATAAATTGTTTAAGACGTGTTTTGCCTCAGTGTGCTCAAACAGTAGAAGATGTCGGGTTTGAAAGATGGTCAAGAGTACATCAACTTGGAGCAAGATATGGTTTCATGACGTCTAATAGTGCAGAATCAATCAACGCTCTAACTCGTCATTCCCGGAAATTACCCATTACTATGTTAATGGAGTTTTTTCGAGCCTCTATTCAACAGTGGTACTACAAGAAAAGAAACCATGCAGGTATTATTTCTTTGAATTCGTAACTTATCATATTTATATATTTTACTAAGTATTGTTTATTTAAATTTACAGGAACATTGGAACATCGTGTTACACCATGGACTGAAAAAAAGATAACGAAACGTGTTGTGAAGTCAACGTCATGGAGAGTTGAACCATGTTCAAACACTTTGTTTCAAGTACTGGATAATAACTTAAATGGGCTAGTCGATCTAAATGCAAAGACGTGTAGTTGTATGAAATGGCAAACATCTAGTTATCCGTGTGGCCATGTTATAAAAGTTGCTCTTCATTTAAACCAAGATGATTCAAGCGCATACGCTATGGATTGCTACACTACAGAAGTTTATCGACAGACTTATGCCGAGATTGTCTACCCTATTCCACATCCTTCTGAGTGGGACATACCAGATGACTTACAAACAGTTTTGCCACCAGCCATGGACAGAAGGCTACCTGGCCGACCAAAAAGTCACGATCGTATACCGTCTAAGGGTGAAGAGAAGAAGAGATCGACATGTAGTCGGTGCAAGGAAAGTGGTCATACAAGGTTGACATGTGGATCACCAGTGCCATCAAAATCATCTTTTCCTCTACCAAAATATGGATCCTCATCAAAATCCAAAGCTCATATGGTGTCAAGCAAAAGGCAATCATCTTTAAAATCCCAATCACAATTGGCTTCACCTTTTGGGACTGTTAACTTAGGTGATTTTTAAATGCAAACGTTGTATTATGTGGATTTTATGTGTGAACTTTTAACATTTTCAGTTGAATTAATGACTCAGGCCAACCATTTTGACTTAACCAACTCTTGTTATTCAGTTGTTATCACTATTAGGCATGCATTTGACTATCGCAACACGGAAATTACAATCGCAACGAGAGAATCGCAATGCGAAATGAAAATCCCAACATGAAAATCGCAATGCGGAAATGAAAATCGCAACGAGAGAATCGCAATGCGAAATGAAAATCGCAATGCGAAATGAAAATCGCAACGAGAGAATCGCAATGCGAAATGAAAATCGCAATGCGAAATGAAAATCGCAATGCGAAATGAAAATCGCAATGCGAAATGAAAATCGCAATGCGAAATGAAAATCGCAACGAGAGAATCGCAATGCGAAATTAAAATCGCATTGCGATTCTCTCGTTGCGATTTTCATTTCCGCATTGCGATTTTCATTTCGCATTGCGATTCTCTCGTTGCGATTTTCATTTCGCATTGCGATTTTCATTTCGCATTGCGATAGTCATTTTTGCCTTCAACATAATGCAGATTGAAATCAACAAAATCAACCATTACATTTCAATCAATTAAACAAGCACAAATAAGAATTATGTTCGCATCAATTACACAAATCAACTTTTACAAATCATCTTTTATAAATCAATTAAACAATCAAAAAATAAGCAATAATTCTTATTTCCGATCATCTACTATTGAATCAACTTTTACAAATCAATTAAACAATCAAAAAACAATCAATTAAACTATTGAATCAACTTTTGCAGCCATACATCATTTTCACGCAGTTCACTTCTGAGATTAACCTGCAGAAACCAAACATTTGCTCAAACAACACTTTCTACACATCTAAAACCTACAAACAGCAAATTATTGAATTCTAGGTACTTAACCAAACATTTTCAAACCAAAAGTATATAAACTTACCAATTGTTTATGGACATTTTTATAACGCGGATGCAGGTAGGCAGCGTCTCGTATATATCGATTTAGCCATATAATGCCGAAACCACAAGCCTACTGCAGCTCTATCTCTATCAGTGGGAGGTAGATACTTGATGCTTCCCGTCGACAAACGCTCCAACGCCAAGCATACGAGAGGACCACAATCTCCTCTGGCTCCGCTCGTTTGTTGTGGCGCGGTCTCGTCTCTAATAACTGTAATATTGAGCTTCTTTGGCTTCTTGTTTCCAGAACGAGTCCAATAATTGATCGCATCCAAGAATTTAGCCAAATGAGAGCTCCATCCCTTAATAACATCTCTTAAATCAGCCAATGATATGTAATTTATCATGCTGTCATACACTATTGTCTTAAGGGATGGGAGCTGAAGCTCGACGAGAATCCAATGTTTACGTTCCAAAACAGGGATAAACACCTGCAATCATAAGTAATAATTCATTCATTTGTGTACTTATTTCATAAAACCTTTAAACTCAATCTAAAATAAATACTAACCTTATCGACCTCCCACCATGCAGGATAAAGTTTAGCTTGTCCATTGCCCAAATCAAATGATTCATCTCGTGCATTCTTCAAGTGAACGGCGTTAAAAGACGTCGGCATAATTGTATATCGTATATTTTTATTTTTCTTAAGTTTTCTTATTATTAGAAGACGTGTCACCCACGCATCGATATGCTGTTTTACAAAAAAGACATATATTAGTGACTTACATAAATTTAAAAAAAAATTAATCAAATTGAAATATAAGAAAATATAAGACTTACCCCCCCCATCGAAATAGCCATTGTCTTCGACCCCTAATAATACGCCCCACCAAGACCGATCAAGCAACAAATAGATATCATCGGTGAGCTTGCATATGTCAGTGAAACACCCCTGGCTCCGCTCATGTAGATAAAAATCAACAGCGGTCTTAGCCCAAAGGGTGTTATCCAGAATTGTGTCCGGTAGTTGTTCCCTCTCCTCTTCAGATACCGGTATGGTACTGGCCGGTAACTCATACGAGAGCCAACTTGAATCCATCATGTCCGGCACGTCAGAGGGTTTCTCAAGAAGCCTACATATGACGCCATGTGAATCGGGCTCTTGAATGGTGGGAGGGACCTCTTCAATGATGACAGTGGCCTCTTGAACGGTGGGAGGGGACTCTCGAGGAATGATAGGGGGGCCTCTTCAACGATAGGAGTGGACTCTTGAGGGATGACAGGCGAGTCGGGCTTCTTCTTGCGGTGTCTTCGCACTATTGGGGTGTACGGAGACTTAATAGCACGTGCACGCTGTCTGATGCGTGAACTCCGTCGTGCAAGCATAACCCGACGTAAAGCATCCACTCTATCGGGCCGCTAAATAATTAAATACAAAATCAGTAAATAAACAGACATGATATTTAAACAGTGAAAACAAAGACAAATATGTTTCAAACTTGCATTGTATTCACCCAAGTCATTATTCTATCATAGTTCACAAAATGCATCAGATAACAAAGAAAAATATGTTTCAAACTAATACCCTGAAGTTAGTATTTGTCTTTGTTTTGTCTATTGGTTGAAGTAATGCAATCCATTCAAGTTTCAATTTGCAGAAGAAGAAATAGTTTACTTTCGCAACACGAAACTTAAAATCGCAACGCGAAATGATAATCGCAACGAGAAACCAAAATCGCAACGCGAAACCAAAATCGCAACGCGAAATGAAAATCGCAACGACAGAATCGCAATGCGAAATGAAAATCGCAACGAAAGAATCGCAACGCGAAATGAAAATCGCAATGCGATTTTGGTTTCGCGTTGCGATTTTGGTTTCGCGTTGCGATTCTGTCGTTGCGATTTTCATTTCGCGTTGCGATTTTGGTTTCGCGTTGCGATTTTAAGTTTCGTGTTGCGAAAGTAAACTATTTCTTCTTCTGCAAATTGAAACTTGAATGGATTGCATTACTTCAACCAAAAGACAAAACAAAGACAAATACTATTTCACAGTGTTAAAGAATACACAGTTTAGCAGAATTGGCAGCAACCGAACAAATTTACTTTCAACCAAAAGACAAAACAAAGACAAATACTATTTCACAGTGTTAAAGAATACACAGTTTAGCAGAATTGGCAGCAACCGAACAAATTTACTTTCAACCAAAAGACAAAACAAAGACAAATACTATTTCACAGTGTTAAAGAATACACAGTTTAGCAGAATTGGCAGCAACCGAACAAATTTACTTTCAACCAAAAGACAAAACAAAGACAAATACTATTTCACAGTGTTAAAGAATACACAGTTTAGCAGAATTGGCAGCAACCGAACAAATTTACTTTCAACCAAAAGACAAAACAAAGACAAATACTATTTCACAGTGTTAAAGAATACACAGTTTAGCAGAATTGGCAGCAACCGAACAAATTTACTTTCAACCAAAAGACAAAACAAAGACAAATACTATTTCACAGTGTTAAAGAATACACAGTTTAGCAGAATTGGCAGCAACCGAATAAATTTACTAAGCAATCTAAGTGAAATGGCTAATCTAAGTGAAATTACGAGTAAATTTATCATTAAGTTAAATATGGAAAATCTTAAACTTACCTCGTTGCGTAGAGTATGAACCTCATTCTGCAATGATACTATCATCTCACGTAGAGCGGCAACCTCACCACGTAAAGTTGACACCTCCACACGCCATGCATCATCGTTATCGCGTAGAGTACCGATCTCCTCACGCAAGGCATTGACCTCATCACGTAACTCCCTTGACTCATCCCGTGGAGGTGGAGGTGGAGAACAGGGAGATAGGAGTCGTGGCATCTTTGCCGGTCGCCTATCATGAGGTGATGGTGGAGAAGAGGCTCGATGATGTGACGGGATAGGTGATGGCTCTCGTTCTAGAGGTGTATAGTCGGGTCGATCGGGTGATGGCTCTAGGTGAGGTGATGGCTCTCGAATTGGAGGAAGTGGATGCTGCTCATCATCCGTGCCATCAAAAAAACTCTGACTAGCTTGCCACCAATCAGTGGCAAGCTCTTCCTCCGTGGGTGTCAGTCTTTGTAATGGAATGTTGGCCTCCTAAAATATAAAAACTCAAACAAAGTTAAACGTCTACTATTAATAACTTGTTTAAATATTATATGAAAGTATTTGTGTTAACTTACATTATTTATTGTCGCATATGGTATTAAGTCTTCCCAATCCAACAGAGTTTTCCTCTTCCAGGAAATAGCCCTGGGAATATCATTTGACGTTTTTATTGCATATGTACGCATGCTGGGGAAAGCCTCGAATATCCAAATCTACAAACAATATAATAACAAAATTAGTAATTGTTAAATAATTAATTATAATTTTAGAAACATTATATAGAAATTCTTACCTTAAAGGCCCAAACAAAGCCTGACAAAGTGTATTTCGACCCATCGCCACGCAAACTTTTGCGGTCATCAAAGGCAGTAGACAACTTAGTCCAGGTAGCTTTCCATATATACGAACCCCACGGAAACAGATTCCATGCATTCAGGTCCTCTACCAATATTATTAGCTCCCGAGGAATAGGTTGTCTGGCCTCTCTGCCTAAAAAGCCGGCATACACAAGTAGTAGAAGGCATACTCGGACAACATCGACGTCATCCATCCGAGCGAAACCAGCTTTCTTATTAAACAATTTCTTCAGGTCGTCGACGTGTAGGTTCGGCTTCTCCATTGACTCATCCGGAAAAACCCGGGATAACCATGATGGGCGGGCGATATGACGAGTGTACCGGCCTACATCATCGTGTCCGAATCGTAGACCAGTGATTAAGCAGAACTCCTTCCGCCCAAAACAAGTATACGCTGGTGGAAAATGAAACCATATCTCTTCCTCACCACGTTGTATACTGTCGGGTAGATTTGATGTCATGGTCTGAAGCCACAAATGGGTCAAATTAGCATCTCCACCCGGATGCTGTACTCTCAGCCATGGCCCGAAGCAGGTTTCCTCAAACAATTGTCTTTGAGCAGGTGAAAGCTTCGAAGCAATTGTAGTGGCTAGGCTAACTTTATTCCTTAATGTCAATGAAGCCGAAAAAAATTTCTACAAAAACAATAAACATACCAAGTTAGATATACCAAAAACTACACTGTGAAGATATACCAAAAACAATAAACATAAAAGTAGTAGTTTATTCTTGAAACTAAAATTTGCAACACTGTTTTGTCTTTTGGTTGAAATGAAAATCGCAACGAGAGAATGACTGTCGCAACGAGAGAAATGAAAATCGCAACGAGAGAATCGCAACGCGAAATGAAAATCGCAACGAGAGAATCGCAACGCGAAATGAAAATCGCAATGCGATTTTGGTTTCGCGTTGCGATTTTCATTTCTCTCGTTGCGACAGTCATTCTCTCGTTGCGATTTTCATTTATCTCATTGCGACTCTTCTGCAAATTGAAACTTGAATGGATTGCATTACTTCAACCAAAAGACAGAACAAAGACAAAGACAAATACTAACTTGAAAATCGCAACGAGAGAATAGCAACGCGAAATGAAAATCGCAACGACAGAATCGTAACGCGAAATGAAATCTAAGTGAAATGGTTAATCTATTATTGAAATGACCAGTAAACTTATCATCAGTTTCAATATGAAAAACCTACAATAATGCAAACATTTCAAAATAAAAATAATTAAAAAAACTAACCCTCGGAGGTTGATTTTCCATTTCTGAATATTGTGAGGGATTTCTGACCGTGAATGGTTTTGAGGGATTTCGCCGGAGATGGGGACGGAAATCTTCGGAGATGGGGACGGATTTCTTCGCCGTAGAGAGTGAGAGATGGAGATGGGACTGAGTTGTGATTTTAGGTTTTAGGTTATGAGTTGCGATTACGGGATTTTGTCTTAATATTCGTTTTTGTAATTTGAAAATAAAATACGCGTAGCGATTATAATGGCGCTTTAAATATCGCGTTGCGATTTACGGATACGCGTTGCGATTTTATGTATTATCGTTGCGATTTACGGATACGCGTTGCGATATACGGATACGCATTGCGATTTACCCATACGCGTTGCGATTTACGGATACACGTTGCGATTTACGGATACGCGTTGCGATTTATGTGTTCGCGTTGCGATTTTCATATTCGCGTTGCGATTTTGGAAAATCGCAATGCGAATTTGTACTATCGCATTGCGATTTTCAAGAATCGCGTTGCGATTTTGGAAACTGATTTGCGATTCTGGGGATCGCGTTGCGATTTTTATTTCGCGTTGCGATTTTGTTGGTCATTTTGGCAAATCCAAAAAAAGTTGGTTAAAATCGTATATTATAAGGCATTTTTGGTCACTGAGGCGATTTTCTCTAATAATAATAATAGCTAATAAGAATAATAGTACGTAATATTAGTAGCATTAACGAAAATAATAATAGCTAATAACAATAGTAATAATACTATAATATAATGTTAATAATAAAGATAAGAATAATATATGATAATAATA